CTCAGGCTTCTCCACCACCTACTGAGAAAAATGTTTCCTTGCATTGACTATTCCCTTTGACTCTTCTTCAGTCTGTTGGCCACTCTGATTGCTTTGAGAGGTGATACTGCTGCATTAAAACCCTTTTACTCTATGGAGCAGTGTCTGTGCAGAGGAACCAAAGAACTGTTTTGTCAAGGCTAAAACGCAGAACATCCTTTTGTTGCTTAGCACTTCTCCTTGGAATGCTACTGGTTTCCATCTCTTTATTGTATGGAAAGGTTTGTCATTGCAGGCCTCCAGCCAGATAATAATTAGCATTGACTCCATGATTCCAGAAGGCTGATCAATCACTTTCTTCTACTATATTCTACTATACTATACTATACTTATTAAGAAACTCATCCCCTTACAGACGGCCCAATACAGCTTTCACCTAACTGGTCAATCAACCCAAACACCATCCAGTGTCCAATTAAGAGATCATCCTTTGGTAAGCAAACCTCTGTAACACATTCCACATGTGCACAACAACAAGTGCAGCAAGTGGAGATAAGAATTGTTAATCATTCTTTTCTCTGATCTTCTCAAAGCCTCCCCCAGGAAAATGCCTAGGGAAGTCGTGCCTGCTGCTCTCTGTGGAGAGAGCTGCAGCTACAAAGCTTGAATATTCAGTTTGTTAAAGTAAGGAAAAAATTCTTTTAGCCATATTTTCATCTCTCTCCCCATCCAGACAGAAATTTGAAATCTTTAGTACTCCATTCTCCCGGGCGATGTGGCTTCCAGAGGCAGGAGCAGAAAAGCAATTCGGGAGATCTGATCCCCGATTGCACAATACTGCTTTCATCGCCATTTGCCAGAGAAAGCCTCAAACGGACCGTACGTGCTCATTGCTGGCATCGCTCAGCTCTCCACCCGTGAAACTCACAGCCGTGGTGCAAACCTCCCCACCTGCAGCACTTCTCTCTTCAGCCTGGAGCATCACGGGCGGATCCCTGCAGAGCAGCAGTCCCCGGCCCTGCGGCTGCGCCGGGCCACTGGAGGGCAGGGCAGGCACAAGGTATCAGCCCTGAAGCGGGGAGGAAGGCGCTCCGTGCACAGCAGCGCCCTTGAAGCGTGCTCACGGCTTGAAACCTGTGCCCCTAAAGCCGACAGGAACATCCCTGTTTCCAGGCTTTATTTTATCAGCAGCACAGAGTGATCCTTTGATCCTTACTCTCCACTTTTGCGATGTAAAACAGAATTAGAGGAAAAGCTTTGATTATCCATTTATTTCTTAACTGCATCTCTGGGCTATTTAAACTGCGACGAAAGCAGCGAGTCAATGTGATAATATTGACAGAGCAGGGGTCACAGTGACAGCAATTATAGCCCAGCATCCTTTGCACAACCAGCTGCTCACATAAAACGCTGCAACAAAACCAGCACAGAGGAAAAGAAGCCTTTAGCTTGGCTTGGCTTTAGAAGCCAGCCAGGTTTGGGGGTATGGGGTGCTGATAAGGAGAGGTCCACAAACACGGCTGCTGAAAGGAAATGTCCTTGTTTGTCAGGAGGGTCAGGAGCACTAGCATGTCTCTCTGAATTACCTTCACAAGACAATCAGGTCAACCTTTCATTAATTTTACAAACCACATTTGATCCAATTGGAGGATTTTCTACAGTAAATCAAACAGCTCCTCCACTAGTGAAGGACATTCGAAAAGGAAGTTGATTTCTGCTGTGAGCAGAGAGAAAAACAGGGATGACTGAGTCAAAAGCCAAATCCGGACTTCTCAGACTCTTGTTCTTAGTGCTGAATGGGTTTCTGACAAGCCCTAGAGAGTAATTTAGAGACAAAGCCCAGTAACATGATATTAATAGATATATAAAAATTTCTATTACACCAACAAATGAATAAAAATCCTTAATTTCAACTGTACCTATAGTTCCCTTGTGCTCAGCAGAAAGAAAAGCATTGTATGCTTTTATGGATGAGAAAGCTGATCCAAATTATCTGTTGGAGGTGAAGAAAACATATTAAAGAGGAAAGAAGACTATGAACCCAGAACAAAAGAGCCAAAACAAAATGTAGGCAATCTGAGGAGAGGGAAGGCAAGAAGAGGAACAGAAATAATTGTGGGTGGAATGCTGTTTTTTTATTGTAAGTCGTAGACTTTTTTTTTTTTTTTTTTTTTTTTTTTTTTATTGTAACTCGTAGACTTTTTTTTTCTTTTTTTTTTTTCTTTTTTTTTTTTAAGAAAAAGGAACAACTGGATCCTGTGGTTGAGGGCTATGGTTAGTGGAGAGGCCAAGGAAATAGCTGAACAACTTGCAGAGGAGACAGCTGAAGATAAACAAACCCTAGACTTCCCTTGCTCATATGACATAAACAAATGGAAGAAACCAAAAAGAAAATAAGGTCTGGAGAGAAAGAGAAATGTGTCTCTGTGTAATTTCAGAGGAGTAACATACCTGCCTTTCCATCTGTACAGCTAAAGAAAGACCCTGGGCAGCTGAAGGAATAGGCCTAGTACTGTAGGTCAGGGTAAGAACTGTCCTGCTGCTGAGGTAAAACTCAGTATCTTTGAGGCACAGAAGGTGGATTTGATTTATATATTAAAAAAATATTTAAAAAAAGGTGCAGAATGTGCCATTTTCCCTGATAAAACAGGTTTACGGAGATGGGGGGAGAGCAAACTTATCTCCTTTGCTTGCCATTCAGGTCATGTTCAGCATGCAGGTATGTATGTGCATCCTCACAGAAACAAAGTGTGCATTAGTCCACTCAAGTCTTGTCTGAGTGTAATGGTAACAATATCTGTCAGGTGGCACCCTTGATGCTGGCACAGCATATACACAAATTAAAACGAGATTTTGCTGTGCATGTCTAGTATTTTTCCTGAAACATGCTGTGTTAAAGTCAATAATCACATAATGGCTGAGGCTGTTGGGCAGCTCTAGAGCTATCTGCTCCAGCTTTGCTTCTCTGAGGTACTCAGAGTCATGTCTAGTGGCTTTTGAGTATGTCCAAGGCTGGAGATTCCATAACCTCTCTGGGCCTCCCATTCCAGTGTCTGACCACCCTCACAGTAAAAAAGTTTTTCCATGTCTTCTGTCACTGGTAGTGGGGTCAAGCATCTAGGTAAAATATTTACCAGAACTGAACATGTTCTACAGAACTAGTTACCCAAGAAGGATTGGTTTTTATCAGTTTGAAGGGTAAACTAAGCAATGTTTAATTGTCCTGACAGGTAGTGGGGGGAGCATCCACTGATGATTCAATATTGGCTGAATTTCCTTAAGTAAATGAAAAATACAAACATGGCATTGTCCTGAGAGGGTACCACAGAACTCAAAATCCTAACAGATTTAGGCATCTCTCCCAAATATTGGCCAGCATCTGAGTCATTTTGATGAACCATTCCCATGGGCTGCAAAGTTTTCATGTGCTTCTTATAGAACAACAGAGTGAAAAGGTATTCTGAGTGGCAGCACCATCAAAGAGGACAGGCAAGAAACTCCAAACCAAAGTTTTCCTCCTGATGATAAGTGCATGGTATTTTGTGGTAGTGCTGTCAATCAGACTTGCCCCCATATTTGGGCTTCTCACCAGCTTGTTCTTTGGGATTGAAAAGAGCACATCCAACTCCTGCCAGCAACTAGTCAGAACTCTGCCAAAAACATTTAGTTCTTATTGACATGTAACTCTTGCCCTTTCATCTGCAATGATAACAAGAGTGTGATCCTCTTATCAATAGTACCTGGATAGCTATTCTGTTCTGGGAGCACATCCAACTCCTGCCAGCAATTAGTCAGAACTCTGCCAAAAATATTTAGCTCTTATTAACTCTTCCCCTTTCATCTGCAATGATAACAGGAGTGTGATCCTCTTATCAATAGTACCTGGATAGCTATTCTGTTCTGTGAGTCCAAATTCTGAGCAACCTTCTAATTGTTTCTCTCTCACCAGAATGCTTCTTGCTACTGGTGCTTGACAGTAGCACCTAAAATACAAGCTGACATTCTGCTACTGTTCAGGGCTGTCCCACTTCAGCGAAAAGGACATAGTCAGGCCTCTCAGAGACATTCAGCACAACCCTCATTAATGCATGGCTTTAATCCAGCACTGTTTCCCAGAGACAAATTGTGGTCACACCAGCAACCTGAACCACCTGCATGCATGGAGAAGTGCGACTTTGAAAGGCACAAAGAAAAACAGTCCTTGTGTTCTTCAGTGGTGTAAGTGCAAAATAACTTCTGACACTTGATACTGGAGAGTTTTAAGTCTTAATTCATTCAGATAACAGAGACATTGATCAATAGACTTTGGAAGGCACAAAGAAAAACAGTCTTTGTGTTCTTCAGGGTGTAAGTGCAGAATAACTTCTGACACTTGATATTGGAGAGTTTTAAGTCTTAATTCATTCAGATAACAGAGACATTGATCAATGGCTGTCCTGAAACCATGCATGTATTATAGAGGAAGAGAGCAGAATTTCGTATTATTCAGACTAAAAAAGGAAGTTGGCTGTGGCAGAAAATCAGAAATACACTGCCTGTTGGGTACATTTTTTAACTCTACATTAAATCTCTAAAGTTACATAAGTTATTCCTATGTCTTTAGGCATTTTGCATTTGCTCTTATATCATATGAAGGTCACATCACCAGTGTTGGTTGTACAGGTGAAGTACTTCAGTATTGGCTCAGTTTAATTGAATTAAAGTCATTGATACTTATGCAAGATAATTAAGCCCATTTTTGTCTCTTCTGCAAGCTTCCACAGTCTGCAAGATTTGAAACATTGTTCACGTCTACTTATGTGCCTCACACCTTGTTTGCCCTCACAGCACCCGATTCCTCTCCATTCTAGCTCTTGTGACCATTCCCACTTCTACCTGTTACATGACCTCTCATGATTATCAAAGGCATTGAACAATCTGCACCAGTGATACCATCTATGGATATGTGGAAGTGGGGGCTAAGACCAGGTAAGGAATTCTAGGTGGGAGACTACGAGACTAGAAACTAGGGATGGCAAATATCCAGGCTGAAGGGCTTGAGGCTTGAGAAATAGATAAAAATGTCTAGAAACATCTAAGTCCCAGTTTTTGGCCATCCCAGAAGGCAATGGATGCACAGCCTCTGCTGTGTCTTCTGTCTTCAGTGTCTGGCAAACGTGAAGAAGACAAACCTGCTGCTGTCATTACATCTTCTGTTAGCTCAACCCAAAGAGGTTTCTGATGTAGACCTAAAATGTCCAAACTATTTTATTGCTTTTAGACAGAATAACAGATCATCCACGATTTTCTCAAGTACTCAATAATGCAAACTCCAAAGTGAAAAAAACTGTTAATGCAATCCAGAGCAATCTGTGGTGAACTGCACACTATCCACAATGGCATCTTTTCCAAAATACTGCTTCTCAGCCTTTGAGTGTGAAATTTTTACATTTTACAATTGACATTCAATAGGACAAATGGTGCAAAGCACAGGTGGAACTAAAGAATCTCAGCCATATCCAAAGATTTACTTGGTCTCTTTCACATCATCCTGTCATGCTGCTACACTCCTTTCTTTCTTCCTCACTGCCTCTCTTGCATTGAGTATTGGAAACCAAAAGTTGACCTGAAAAAACAGAAATATGATCTGTGTGATGATATTACTGAGTTAAGATCACCCAGACACTAATACCCTCTACAGTCAGTATTGAAGGCTGTTAAAAAAGCAAACTTAAATGAACTATATATCTGCAGCTTTCTATCTCAATATGCCATAGATATATGCATGTGTGTTAGTTGTTTCCATTAGTGTGTCTGTGTGCATGTATATATACAGGATATATGTTTTTGCAAGCAAAAGTTCTTTTTCCTAATAGTATATGCAGTCACACTGTTTTTTAAAATATAAATATATCACCTTCCATACTGCTAAGCAATATCAGAATATCTTTCTCTACATTTAGGGCTGCTCTTGCTGCCTAGCACTTGCTATCTAGATTCAGGAATACTCTAAGTGCTTTTCATATGTTCATGAAAACAAAGTTTCTTCTCTGGAGGACTCTGAATCTGAGAAGTATTTTCTTGCCAGCACATAGTCATTTGAGCATACCAATATCATGTCTGAGGCATGTGTGCTGAAGTACAGAACAAAATTATTAGATGATCTAATCTTACCATTAGGCAACATGTCTCTGGTTCCTGAGCACTGGGGAAAGTCATTAGCACATAATTGAAGTTAACAAGTGTTTAAGTATTTCCTGGATCTGGCTACCACCCAGTGAGAAGGTTTATTTGTTTCCCCAGAACTCATGGCTTACCGTTCTTGCAAACGTGTTCTTCCCAGTTTTCTCTTGTAGCTTTTTTCTTTTTTTGAGTAATTTTGCATGTAAATAATGTATCCGTTTCATCTCGGTATCAGGATAAAAGGAAGTTGACACGAGTATTTTAAGTTGGGTCAGGAGGCCAGAGAATAACCCAAAAATTATTAAGAAGAAGATGATGACTCCAAGCTGAATCCATGTTGTGGAGAGAGCGAGCTCAGGATGAGGGATGCAGTTTTGCTTAACCAGAGGGATCTTGAAAGAATCAGTCTTGGCAATATGCTCTTTCATAGAAATTATATAGCTTTTCTCATTCTTCTGCACAAGAAAAGTGAAAAAAAGTTGTTGGTTATAAGACAGATTCCCTCCTTTCTTAATATTTCTTCCACTGGACATTCAGATTTACAAACGACTCTAAATCATCTAAACCATCCAGTGTCTATATACAATATGCTCAAAACAATATATATATTGGCTATTTACAAATGATTTGGACTCTATTTTCACAATTTCGCTTGGTGGACAATGTCCAGCACTTTGGACCATTAAAAACTTACCTTCTCAGTGACTCTGACAGGGAAATATTTAGCTAATCTGGTTATAATGGTTTAGTATTTTTCTACTCCTATGACTCTGCTCAGATGCCCTGTTGGAGGGTCCTTCATTGAGAGTAAAACTGCAGAGCAGAGTGTCTGTCCCTTTGGTTTTGTCTCAGCACATTATCAGCAGTGCTTCCACACCATGGTGGTTCCACACCAGCCGGAAATCAAACTCCAGATAAGCCTTTCCCCTTCCAGTAAGAGAGGGACAAAGGCAGAGACTATGGGTTGAGATAGCAAGTTACTGAAAGCAGCAATGGAATAAGAGACACACAGTAACAGCAGCAATATTATTTACAGAAGTACATAAAAAGAGAAGGTGGTTTATCTACAAAAGGTATTCACCATCTTGACTTAGTTCCACGTGGGACAAAGCCAGGATGGTGGCTCTTCCTATGCCCAGTGCCACATGGCTGTCCCCAGACAAAGACAAGGTGGCAGTCACTCACCACAGCACTCTCTCTGTGCCTGAGCCTGAGACAGCAGAAAACAATGACAGACAAACCCCTGAAAGTATGAAAGAATGAAAGTATGAAAGTCCTCATCACACTGCACCACTGCTTCAGATGCTGGACTCAACTCTGTGCAGCTGTTTCCAGTACCAGCCCAGGCACTACTGACTGCTCCTCCCAGCTCTTCCCATCTCCACTGAGCTCCTTTCAGCTCAGCTCAGACTAGGCTGGGCTCGGGCTTGCCTCTGCTGCTCTGTTCCCCGCAGCTGCCGCCCGCACCAGCGCTGCTTTCCAGCGCCGTGTGCCTGAGTCAAGTCTTGAACAAGCAGGAGGGCAATGGGCAGGAGTGGGGCAGGGCTGATCCTGACAACCTTCCCAATGGAGAGAGGGAGGCAAAAATGTTGCATGTTCAGGAGTGCTCACTCTTTCTTCCCCCTGAAACCGCACCTGCAGTGATGTTGTAAGTGGTATGGAACAGCAATCCAGCCATGCCCAAGTGGCACTAAGCCCTGTCCCCTCTCTGCAGCCACACAACTGGCCCAGGCAGTGCTATGACCAAAGGCTGTCACACAAAGGCTGCCTGACCTCCTCTTGTAGCTGCCTCTGCTTAGCTGATGTTTTTCACTGCTTGTGGGCTGAAATGTTCAATAAGAAGGGTAAATCAGACATGCTGCTGGGACCATACTATAAGGCAACTTTCTGTTCTGTGAATAAGAACACTGAATAACCCCGCCTCTTTTCTGATAATGTCAAAGGAATAATAAGCTCTTCCTTGTGGCTTTTATAATCACCCTACAGAGGCCAAGCACTTCTGTTAGATGTTCATTGGAGAAATGAAGTTCCCAAAGCATGCTACCCATCTTCAGCCTGTTAGCCCTTCCTTGACATGATCCTGTTCCAGACTGTCTCAGGCCATTTTATCCCTAAACTGAATTGATGTATAGGCAAGGAAAATCTTCATTAGGAACTCAGTATGAAACAGGGGTACTAGTGCATGAAGAACTTTGCTGTTCATGCTAATTAATAAACATCTCAAGTGTCTGAGTCTGTTCTGCTCACCCAGCTTCCTTGACTCCCTGAGATCAGCAGCCCTGAGGCTTGATATAACAAATCTGTTGAGATTAAATTTTACATTTTAATGTAATTAGCTTTCCTTGGGGAACTAGAAACCATCTGATAATGGCATTAGTTTTCTGTTTTAAAGAAGTCAAGCAGCTTTGCAATGAGTGAACAATGCACATAAAGAGAGCAAATTCGTAGTACAGGAACCATAAATCAGCCAGACATGGTACTCAGGACTTCTGTTCATGGATAATGGGACTAAGCTCCTTTGCCCTGACTTGGGTCACACACAGGGCAGGTCATGATAAGAGGCTGCCTTCAAGGTACAAAGGATAGAAACACAGGAAAACCACACACCACAGTACACAGCAAATAGTGAGTACACAGCAAAGTACACAGCAACAGGCTGACCAGGGTAGTGATCAGCTGGGTCCTTATTATCTTCAGGAATGGACATCCCACAACCTATCTCAGAAACTTGTTCTATTGTTTGATCACCTGAATGGTACACCACTGAAATGTCACATAATCATAGAACAATTAATGTTGGAAAAGACCTTCAAGATCATTGAGTCCAATCTTTGACCAAACAACACCATTAAAACTTGGTGTTATTAGCACCATGCTCTAACCAGTTGTCCTTGTTTGGAGCATGGGGTTGGTCTGGATGGCCTCCAGACTTATCTTCCAACCTAGCTAATCTATGGTTCTCTATGCTGCTGCTCCTGCTAGAGCACCCTGGAGATTTTGGCAACAAGTCATTATTTTGTGTGTATGCGCCCATGCATACACGTGATGAGCTCCTCACACTACTCAGTTAAAGAAAGGTAGGCATCTCTTACATCAGTGTTACAGTGACTTTTGGCTATAAAAAGTAGTGCTTCACAAATGTCAGTTTTGTGAGTTTCAGATTTTAAGCTGGGTTTTTTCATATATATAAATGGAAGAATGAAAATCCTTCTTCTAAAATTTACCATTCTCTAGAAATATGACAATGCTCTGGAAAGAACTGTCTGGTTCCATCCAGCCAATGTATCTGTGGAGGCAATGACCCTTTTTGAAATGAATTATATTCCAGGAAAGAATTGATGGCTCATTGCTATATGTTTGCTTTTGCAGCTGCTGAAGATGAAGGGAAATTTTTCAACACTAAACTACGAAATATATGGTACTGATAAGTACTTACATTCTGAAAGAGACTGAGTTGAATGTCCAGATCCGGTACTTCTTGGAGATATTTGTTCACAAAAATAATTAACAAATAAAACACCGAGTCTACTGCAACAAACAGAAGCCAGATGCAAAGATGAATAATTATAGGGAGAAAAGAACACAGCATTTTTTTCCTGTCCTTTCTTGTGAAGAAGAAGGATGGGATCATCACATAATCTTTTTTCTCTTTTCTGTTAAGTGGCAGAAGACAGGGTCTTTGCTGTTGCTTTTGGTGCTCATCAAATGCAATGAACTGTTTTGTGATATAAGTATTCTTAAATTTGGTACTATGAGAACCCACAAATTTTTTGATAAAGAGGCCAGTTCCAAAAGAAACTAGAAAAACCCCAAATATAGGCAATACTTTCTGACCTATATAGGGCAGTATAGTCAACATAAAAGATATCTGGTTAGTAATTCTCTGGATTTCTTGCTCTGTGTCATTTAGCTCTTTTTTTAATGCGTCATCTAAAATTGAATAAGATGGTGTGAATTCATGCTTTAGGACCACTATATCTTTAGGTAGCTCAGCAGGAGGTTTGGCTACCTCATAAACCCATTTTATTGCCTCAATATAATATTTTATCAAGGCAAATTGCTCATGCTTTAAATGACAGGTTATACTGTCTGCCAGAACCTTTAAATTGTGAAAAATATTTTGAATGTTGCTGGCCACCACAACACCTGTGCCAGCAGTAATAAGAGCATCCCTGCCATTTTTCAGTCCACAAGAAAGGAGGAACAGAACACTAAAACAGCGCAGGTGCTTGAAACAAAAGAGCATGATAGAAAGCAAAATCCAGATGAATCCAGAAATCAGTAAGGGCCCCAAGGAATGGTGTGCCAAGGAGAAGTGCATGCTAAGGAAAAACAGAATGCTGGAGAGGAAGCCAACTGCAGAGCAAACTGCAAAAAGCTGCATCTGATACTTCCAGTCAGGCTTCCTTTCAGATATAAACATTTCCCATGCATTCTGAGCTATTGAGATGAATTTTTGCATATTCTTCTGATTGTTGCTGACACTGCAATGGCTCAAACTAAAATGAAAGGAAAAGAAAAACACTGTTATTTACAGGGTCACACTAGTGACAATGATGTGCTTTTAACTGACTGTCGGATACTTCCTCACACTGCAAAATCTGCAGGTCTGACTCACATGAGGCTGAACCACCACACGTCTTGTATTTGCGGGGCTCCCAGATGAAGGAAGGAATGATGCATCTCACTCCATGTTCTTAGAAGGCTAATTTATTATTTTATGAAACTATATTATATTAAAGAATGCTATACTAAAACTACACTAAACTATACTAAAGAATACAGAAAGGATACAGACAGAAGGCTAAAAGATACTAACGAAAAACTCGTGACTCTTCCAGAGTCCTGAAACAGCTTGACCGTGAGTGGTCATTAAGTCAAAACAATTCACATGAAACCAATGAAACAATCACTTGTTGGATAAACAATCTCCAACCACATTCCAAAGCAGCAAAACACAGGAGAAGCAAATTAGATAAATGTTGTTTTCCTTTTTCTCTGAGGCTTCTCAGCTTCCCAGGAGAAGAAATCGTGGGCAAAGGGATTTTTCCAGAAAATATGACAGCCACACACAAGAGACCAAAATATTTGTCCCCAGTGTCATAGATATAAATATTGAAGAGGTGACTCTAAAAGGATTTCTATCTTTTGTCCTTTTATGTTTTGCACACTTTGATTTCTCATTAGCTGTGTAGAAACAATGGTTCACATGCACACGTGTGTGTGTGTGTGTGTCAGTGTATGCTTAAGAAAGACACCAGCCTCCTGTAGCACCCACTGCTCCCCACAGATGCTAGCTTTGCCTTGTAAGCACCAAGAAGGGAAAGAGAGGAGGACAGAAACTTCCCATTGGTAGCCCCATGAAGGGGAGCATGGCTCGATCTGTGGGTAGCAGCCGGAGCAGATGCCATCGAGGAAGGAGCTGGTAAAGCAGCATGTGCACACTGCCCAGGGATGGGGAATGAAGCACAGCTTCTTCAGGTGGAGGTAGGTTAGTACAAAGCAAAGGAAGTGTGCCTCAGAGGCGTCATTCCTTCCTTGGGTCTCTCCCGGGATAGCACACCTACAAACTGGTCCATGTACAACAAGCTGTCCATGAGCCAGCAGTGTTCCTCATGGCCAAGAAGGTCAGTCCTGGGGGCATTAAGAAGAGCACTCACAGCAGGTTGAGGGAAGTGATCCTGCCCCTCTGCTCTGCCCTGGTGGCACATCTGGAGTGCTGTGTCCAGTTCTGGGCTCCTCTGTACAAGAGACATGGAGCTCCTGAAACAGGCTCAGGGAAGGGCTATAAAGATGAGGGAACTGGAGCATCTCTTTTAGGAGGACAGGCTGAGGGAGCTGGGCCTGTTCAGCCTTCAGAAGAGATCACTGAGAGGGGAATCTCATCAATGCATACAAGGAGCTGAAGGGAAGGTGTCAAGTCTCTTGTCAGTGATGCCAAGCAATAAGACAAGAACCAATGGGCAGAAACTGAACAGGAAGTTCAGAACCAGAACTTGAGGAAAAACTTCTTTACTCATGTAAGGTCCCCAAAAACCTTGCTTGACATGGCTCTTAGAAGAGCTCACAGATGTTCATGTAAGATCTGAGTTAGATGCACAGGACAACTATGGACAAGATATTCTCAAGAGGTCAAAACAACTATAAAACTTTACTGGCAGCTTTAGAAAATCAGAGAACTTTGTCAAAAGATTTAGTGCAGCATTCAATCAATATAAAACACTTCTTAGAGCATTAACTTAAGAAACTCTAAGTCTGTTCAATGTTAAGTTACACAAAAATTCTGAGAAGAAATAATTAGAAAGTCAGAAAATACATAGAAGAGAAGCCTCATAATTACGACTCCTGGATTCCAGTGGTGTGCAGCTGATAGAAATTCCAAGTGGCAGTAGTGTCAAGACATGCTTGCCTCATGTTCCACATTAAACACCCCTTGGCCCTTCCCCCAGGGGGCACTTCCAGTCATTTGGACACTCAGGAGCTGGGCAAGGGGCTCCAGGGGTGGGGTGTGCAGCACTGCCTCACCAGGGCAAGGCTCTACCTCCCCCTTCCCCGCACACAGGCACCCCAAAACCTCACCAGACATCAATCATTCCAGCCTCTCGTAACTGTGAGGGTGACCAGGCACTGGAAAAGGCTCCCAGAGAGGTTGTGGAATCTCCATCACTGGAGATACTCAAGAACCACCTGGATTCAATCCTGTGCCACGTGCTCTGGGATGATCCAGCCTGAGCAGGGGGGTTGGAGCAGATGACTCACTGTGCTCCCTTCCAACCTTACCATTTTGTGTTTAACCCTTATTAAGCCTAATAGCATGTGCTTGTCACCATCTGTCCTGCTTACCAGTATGTCCGTTATGTAAATTACAGAGTATTTCTGTGATTCAGTTCTGTTTGATGGGAGATATTATAATACAATATTTATAGTGCAATTTGTCCAAAGATGCAAGGTCAATTCATATCCATATTAGCATTTTAACATTCTAGAATAAATGAGATACTAATTAGATAAAATAAACAGTGGTAAATTTATCTTAAATAGGGAGCAGTTGTCTTTGTAAAATACATCTTGAAGATATTACTTTGTCTTTTGCTTAGCTTGAACACAGCAGGTAGCCAGGAACTAAACTATAATTTTGTACATATACTGTATTTTATTAGCATTAGCCTTTATTAATCCTGCTAGCATTCACTGCACAATTTCCCCCTCCTTCTCATTGTAATTAATTATTAGTTGTGTCATTATCTCCTTTGTGTGCAAGAGCAGCTGAATATTATGGGAGCAAGCATCTATCACCAGCTGGGACCTTCTTGTGCTGATGTACTGCTTTTCTTTGGCCTTACTTGGGCTTGAGCCTTTATAGTGCTGAGGACTATTCTGAAAAATTCTGTGTTTTTTGTGTTTAACCACTTGAGCACAGGTGAACAGTGGTCAGTAGGCCCTTAGAGGGAGTTTAATTCCTAGCACTATCACAGGGCTGGGAAGGCTGAGAAAATTGCTTCCCTGCAGGGCCTATGTGAACTCAGCTGCAAATGAAGTACAAGAGCAATTAACAGCTCCTTCACAGAAGCAAAATTAGTTAGTCAATGCCCTAGAAGTAAGCAGTAGTCACCATGTTTGGGAAGGTGCTGCAAGTGAAATGAGGAGCAGAGTAGGCACAGGAGCCATCTGGCTCCAGCTCTGCTATGGGCAGATTGGCCCTCCTGCTTGTGTGGATGGTCTGCTTTATCCTTTTTCTGCTGAAAGACATTTTTAGGAAACATAATCAAAAAATAGATGTTTATATTCCTGAAATCAAGCAGAGCCAGACCTAACAGACAGCAAACCTTGTCAGCAAATCCAACACCTCCGTGATAAGATCGTTACACAGTATGTGCTGCCGCAACTTCTTTGTAGATCTAAGGAAAATTGCCTTGCACAATGAATACATCTGGCATTTTGTTCTTGATTTAAGACACCTTAACAAAATAAAAAGTAAAAAGGCTAGCATTTATCTAATGCTGTCCAAAACACCTGTGTAAGAAAATAACACATTTTCAGTTTTCTTTAGCAGCACCAATTTCACGGCTGTTCTCAGGCACAGTTTTTACATGTTTTTGAGCATTTGTATGTATGGGTATAGTGAATTTGGGTTAGTGCTTAGAAGCATTCAGTAAATGGCTGCAATATGTGACTGGGACTTTGGCATGACTGCATCCTTAGATTTAATAAAAGTATTTCTGGACTGGGAGGCTGGAGACTTGCAAAATATGGACAGAACTCAAAAAGAATCAGAGTCTCCTTTTCTGAGCAGATTCAATGCTGTTGCACGAGATTCCTGCAGTATTCAGAACATGCATGATAGGTTTGTCCTCAGCCTGCATGAACACAGAGCTTTAAGGCAGGAAAGGCATTGTAAAGACACAGTGAATTCTGGAGCCTGTGGAATGGACACTCTCCATGGTCATTGAAGGTCACAAAAGGAGCATCCTCATACCCTCCAGAGCCTATTGCTAAGCTTAAACTTTTCCAGGGTAAGAGTCAGGCTCACAGTGTGCACTTCTGTGGCTTGTCTGACACCTCAGTTTTCCCCGCATAAGGTATCACCAACAGGTATAGATATTCAGCATTGAGTACAGAAGAATCACTCAAAGGATGAAAAGTCTAAACCTAAAAAAATGTTTGGAGGGTGAACGTTCTTACATCACAGGCACTTATGTCACAGCTGTAAATGCTTGGGAAAGAAAAATAATACTCTGGCTTAGAGGTAGAAATAAATTGTTGGCATCACTAAAGAGGCTAATTCAGAACTTAAAGAAATAGTAAATTTTGAGAGCTTTCTGGAATGATTCTTCTAAAAAACATAAATCACAAAAGTTTCCTGAAGCTTTTTGGTGCCATTAAAAATTATAACAGGAGACTGACATGAACAAAACCTTCATTTCAATTGCAGTCTGAAGCAAAGTACTTTTTTTCTGGTCCTGTAACATGAACTGAGGTGGGGGCTTCTGCCATTATTTATGTAGCATAAGGAAAGAATGATTCTTGGAAAGTTGTTTCTTGCTCTGAACTGCCAATTTCTTTCCACCGTACTTTCTAGTGATGGAAAACTCCCCGTCCCACAGAGGGGACCTGGAAATTCTTGTGCTCTAGTTCTGCTTCTGTAACTTATTTTTTAGTTGAGTCCAAGGGGGACCTCTCTGGGAAATATTTACTCAGCTCTGAAAGCATGATATTCTTCTACCATATGGCATGCTGGCAGGACTAATTATAAAAACAAATTCTCCAAAGGAGCTTCTCTGGCAAGGAGGTTGGGCCACACTTCTTAAGACTTGTGATGTACTGAATTTAATGCAACCTACTTAAAAGGGATTTTTCTAGTTTCATTTCAAAATAAACAAGAAAAATTTAAAAGCATTTGAAGGTCCTTTTTGTGTTATTTCAGATATGGCTACAGATTTGAGGAAGCAGAAGATAAGTACA